GGTCAGGAGTCGATTGATCGAGTGACGTATTCGGCAATTTGAATGCTTATTATCAGTTCATAAGTTTGATCTGTCTTCTATAAATCTGAATAACATATGTTATATTAAACATCTTTTTCAAAGTACTTACGACTATTTTTCTTGGGAGGTTGATTCTGTCAGCCATGATGCTGATTTCGCGAAACGCGTTTAACAGACTTCGATCAGAGCCACTGATCTAAAAACACACGGAAATAAGGGGAGATGAGTAAAACTGACAAACAGAACTGTCTATTCATATCAAAATCAGACATTTAGCCCTTCTGTAYAAAAAGGATTTTGAATTGAATCGTCTGAGTTATATAAATAATTTTCTAAGAGAGCGACTAGTATAGGAATCCACGACGGAAATAAAATCATGACGCCGTGGTWACACGAACTATTCCTTCACTAGTAAAAACAGATATGAATCGATATTGTGTGTAAGTCAAAAAAGAAAACGAAACAATCAAATGTCCACAATAACTCCAGACAAAAATTCGTATCGTTGTGACTAAATCTTTCTTCTGTGCTCGTACTGAACAAAAAGCGATGTGCCTGGCACAGAAACATCAGCTAAAAGAAAACATTCGTAACACCACTAAAAAAATACAGTCGTCAACAAACCAAGAACTAAGATTACGAGAATTCGTGAAGATAACGCTCCTCAAATTTCACAAAGAAATGTACGGTGATTTTAGAGATAATCGACCTCACCACTACGTTTCTTTGTTAATTTTGGTGTCTTCGAAGTGTTCTATCTTCCTGAATTTTCAATTGACTAATTTCAGGATGGATTTTCCGTGAAACGGCCTTTCCTCTATAAGAAGTACTAGTTTTACATGTACGGTTGTATTCGATACTTACCCCAGACCGACTGTTATGAGTCCTGGCAAAGCCGTCCATCTCGTAATTGCCAGGGGCAGGTTTTTCGATCAATGTCGACAAATCGCTACCACTCAGCAATGGATTCTGAAAGATAAACGCCCTATATAAAGAACGGGAGAAAGTAGCCGCCTTTACATTCCATAACATSGCTGTATTAAACATCGCAGATTGATCAAACACCCCCGTTACCGTATTCAGAGATCCAATTCAATCTAGTCAGTAAATATTTAGGCTATAAGTCGATGCAAGATAGAGACGGCTTTTAAATATACAAATTGATTTGTCTTCGTGGTTGAAAATGCTATGTCTTTTGAAATAAAGTCATTTGAGRAAAAAAATCTGACCGCTACTAGCTSATCATATATCAGGTGCTTTATGGGTAATTTCGAGTGCTATTCGCTCTACTCGTGCTAAATAYGATTTCAAATAAATAAAACTCTTTGAAGTTCTACTTATTTAGTGTTATTGACGGATATTCTACACTTAAACAACAAATCAAACATTAGCTACATAACGTATATACTAATAATAGGGCCGCATCCAGTCGTCATGAGAGTCCTCGAAACGGGTGTAAAGCTAAATATAAAGTTACATATATATATTTGGCAACCTAATTGGTTATAACATAGCCTGATGATTGAGCAAATATGAAACTTAAAGTCGCTATCTGTTTCTACAGTCTTGATTTACCAAATATTATATACATTATATTTATCATTCGCTACGCGCACTCGTGAAAGATCTTTTCAACACTAGAAGATAAAATCCGTATYTCTGCTCTGCCATGTAATAATAATATAATAATATAATATAATATAATCCTATTTATATAGCGCTTATCCAATTCTGTTCTAAGCGCTTTAAAACTACATGACAACTACAAAACACACGAGAGTCTTGGTAGACTGTGAGCTTGAGTTGGCGCCTCTGGCTGCCGCTACACAGTCTGTCCCAAGATCTCAAACTAAAAATTAAAGTACAACAATCAGATTTACATCACAATAAACAAGTGTTTTGCATGATGCTCGGTGGCTTAACCAAGCTCATTCGCGCTTTGACAGGTTTTGTTTTTAGTCCTGCTGGGTGTCATGCCACCCTCCTCACCAGTGTAGACTGGTGGGGGTGCCGGTTTAGACGCCGACGACCCGTCCATGAGGCAGGTTGTACCGGGTTACAATGTCCTCTACACACAGCAATATGTAGAAATTATGATCATTTTGACTCATATTCCAAGTATAGTAAAATATATAAGAAATTAAGGGATATCATCACCAATATTTTTTGAAGTTGCCTAGCACTGAACAAAATATTGGCGATGATATCCCATAACTGGAAAAAATCGCGCGCTTTAAAGGTTGTAAATTTGATGTAAATATGATGTAAGTGTCCAAAATTCTGTAAATTTTGTGTAAATGATTTCCATTAAATTTACAGAATTTTGGACACTTATATCATATTTACACCAAATTTACAACCTTTAAAGCGCGCGATATTTTCCAGTGAATTTCTGATATATTTATATATACTTGGAAAATATTTGTCAAAATGATCATAATTTCTGCATATGAAGCCCTAGTTCATCTATTTCTTATTATCATTTATATATGTGTTAGCGGTCAGAATGTCTTCAAATCAACTGAAAATAGCAAAAAATTAAGACATCCATGTCTTTATTTTTCGGGTTTTTTTAATTTTGAAAAAATTGCCGCTACCGCTTGGCAAAGAATTTATATATAATTGATATATTTATATGTTAGTGGTAAGAATTCTTCAAATAAACTGAAAATAGCAAAAAATTTAGACATCATCTCGTAATTTTTCGATTTAGTTTGACAAATCGCTACCGCTTGGCAAAGAACAAGCGGCAAACATAAGTGAAATTCTCGTTTACAAGTACCAATACCTCAAATGACTGAAGCTWCAACAATCCACTCCAAAACACAGGCTGTTTATCAAKACTGCTTTCCAAACACATATCATAAGTTGACAAGACAAACTCATTATCCGACCTTCTTAAACCACTTGTACAATCGGCCGATTGACTTAATTTTGGCCCAAAAAAATCTTCCTTTTGTCTTCTCAGGATGTGGGCTGAGTCCCCAAGTCTCTGATTCGTTATAACTTGATGAGTGAATTCAAAGAAATTTAGAGACCTTTACAAACATTTTAATCAAGAGGAAAGTTTCTTCAATGTCATTTCCTTCCTTCTCGTTGATGTTTCAACAGTTTTGAGCTCTGAATTTACTAAACTAACCAGACAATGATTAGAATTTCAAATTGTCTGTAAACGTCGAGGATTATTTTCGGATAAATATWTAAGGATAAAGACTAGCGAAAAACCTTAAGTTTATATATATCTCAGTGGGATTTTTTGAATCCCAATTTTATATTTATTGATGAGAGTTAACTTGAAAAAGACAACCGTCCAATTCCCATCCGTTCTCTTTTCAAAAATATTTTGATACTTACAAAAATAGCCCAGTTTTGGTGATTTCGTGTATATGATTGGCCTAAACGCGTGGGAAAAAATACGCYTGGTTTCGTGTAAATAAAAAAAAGCGTGATTTCGAGAATTTCTCTCGGTTTTATACGCCTTAAAACGCCCCAAACATGCGGTCTTTCGAAAATTTCATTTTTTTTTTTCAAAATTTCATTTTTTTCAAAATTTCAATTTTCCCCACCACAAAAAAAGCGTGATTTCGAGAATTTCCCCTGGTTTTATATGTCTTTAAAAAAACGCCCCAAAAATGCTGTCCTCCGAAAGTTTTCAAATACGGTCATGCACGGAACTTCGTCTGGTTTCGTGTCAAAAATCATAAAAAACGATGAAAACAAAACGTAATTTTCAAAATACGTCACAGCGGCCATATTGGAGGAACTTCAACAAAGAATTTCTCATTAGTATCTATCGTTCATTCATGCAGCATGGACACCGGTCTTTTGTCTTTTGAATCTCATGGGAATGGTTAAAAACTAACGGTCCCGTTTTTTGTTTTGTTTGTTTGTTTGTTTGTTTGAATAGCAATAGTTCGCATTACCTGTGCTGAGCCAACACGAGATGGGTCACTTGTAGCCTTCTCATTGCTAAACGTCCGCCATTCTGAGCCAACATCAACCACCCTGGGAAAGATAAAACATTAGTTTTCTTTTATATTACTGGTTATATATGAATGTTAATTCTAGAGCTTTTTCCTTTAACAAAGAACCAAAGAAATTCTTAGTTATTAATGGATTGCATGTGAATGTCATTTCTCCTGTCTGAGGAAACAAGTCTTAAGTCCCGTTCTCACTTGAGATTTTTGCAGARCGATTCTCGTGGCAATCGTCACGCGGCCATCGCCTAAATTTCGAACATGYTTGAAAAATTGGCTGCAACTTCGCGACGATTTTACATCGTCGCAACAATCGCAGGGCTGTTAACACGTACGATTATAGTTGCGCCATAGCAAAGTGGCAGAAAGTGGCGATTATCGCGCTGCTTGAGCTAACCCTATCCGCAAGTCGAACTGACCTCTATCAATCGGTCAACATATGGAAAGACCAAGTGGCCGTTACATAGAGGTTTAACGTTTTAAAAGATGTCACGTTTACAGTAAATACACATGAAAATCAACTTTCGGAGAATTAATGAGTGACCGCTTAATGGAGGGTGACCGATAAAGAGATTCGACAGTTATCCCTTATGTAACGTAACAACCCTAACCCTAACCCAAAAAGACAGGAAGCCCGTGATTCTTAGTGACGACTGCAGAGGAGGCTACTTTGAACTGACAAAATATAGCCAATATCCAAAAACCCTACCCCCTCTTCAACAGACAGACTTTTGGTTCTTTGTACCAAAACAATACATTGCCACTATCTTAATATTGTATTGGCCGCCTGAATGACTTAGACGGCAAAGTTGACTCTTTGACTTAGACGACGACATTGTCTGGTTTCCTAATGGACTCAGACGTTAAAGTGTCTACCTAACGGACTTAATAAGATGACTTGTCTGACCAACTGTCCGACTTAGACAGAAATGTGTCTGGTTTTTGGTCAATTTAGACGGCAAAGTGCCTAGCTAACAGTTCGACTTATACGAAAAAATAGTTGTTTAACTTATGTACTTAGACGAAAAAGTGTTTGGCTAACTGTGTGATTTTGTTGTCTGGCTAACTGTGCGGTTTTGACGGAAAAATGACTAATTAACTGATTGACCTACAATCCAGTATTAAGACAATTATGTGCTTTGATATATGCCCCCTCCCCTACCCCCACCAGCCTCCTGTATTCCCCAAATACTGTATGTGCATAGGTTTTTGAATACTAAGTGTCTAAGTTGTTCAACTTGCTGCTTTAGGAACCTTTTGACTACCAAAAAAGGATGATATAATATCTTCACATGGTCTTATTAGATAAAAGTATCATTTGGATAAGTATTCCTAAATAACATTATTGACACCAACGTCTCTTGCCAAAAAAAAAGTCAAAATGATCCATTTTACAGAGGAGGTCTGGTAACAAGCAGTTCTAAGTTTAAAATGCTACTTGCATGAAAATGGTTTTATTTCACTTCAAGCAATACAAATATATGACTCATTTATATCTATTAAAAACAATTGCGGGAAAATATTTGTTTTGGAATTATCCAACATCAGAGAAATTTTGATTCAAAAGATGGAAGAACTAAAGAATGGAGTAAATGACGTCATCTACTCCAACATTTTTTGCCCACATTATCAAGGATTTGTATCAATATCTTTTTAAATCTGTTGCTTCATGATTATTAGACCCATATGGATAGGGTCCATTTGATTTCCAAGCATGTGTAATGTTTTGCAATTTTCGGCTACACCTACTTGCAGAAACGTTGTCATAGAAAATAGGACATTAATTTTGTATTTAGTAAAAAGGAATAAAATAAAAAAAACAAATTAAAGAAGATCACTGAGTCTGAACGCTCTCTTTTGTCTTATTTTAATTAATTCCTTTTTACTAATTATTCAAATGTTCAATTTTCTATGACAACATTTCTGCAAGTAGGTGTAAGTAGCCCTTTAATGCCACTGAAAATAGTGTCGTCAAATTTAAGTGCTGAGCCTATTAAAGGCTGAAATTTTAATAAAACAGAGTGTAAATTTAAAAAAAAATCAAATGTTTGCCTGACAGTTAACCAACTTAATATTCTTTTGTTAACTTTGGTAGGTTTACGGTCTTTTTCTAACATTTCAATGGTCTTACTCCCAAACATGGGAATTTTATGACACTCTTGATAATGGTGTCTCAGTAAGTAAAATATTCCCACAGACTGCTTGATTCTTGATTTTGAATGTTTAATAATATCGATGATGATGTATTGAACTACCTTAAGTTTGTGAATGGCTCCAGTGTGAGATCTGAGCAGAGCCACTTTGTCAAAAGCCTAAATTGTAGTACTCTGCAGCCCAGGTCTGGATCTCTTTCACTAAATAGGGATTTTTGGGAAAGAGCATACCCTACCCCAGACTAAAGATACAAAGGTACAATATTTTAGTGCTGAAAGCATGGCCTAGCAGATACAATCACAGGCAAAACTCCACCCTACCCCAGACAATGAGACTATAACCTATCCTAGACAAAAAGACTACCACCCTATCCCAGACAAATGGGCAAAAAATGATACCCTATCCCAGACTTGGAGCTCCGAAAAAGGGACCCTATGGAGCGGCACATACCCGTATAGCAAATATAAGGGAGTACCCCCCAGGAGCAGCAAGAGCATTATCTGCCAATAAGAAATATTACTACTATGAATTCTGTATATTAACAAGAATACAACTTCTTAGCTTAGCAAAATAAAAGTACAAACTGGCTAATAAAAGGGCCATGGTGAACCAGCCTTTATAATCGTTTGCAATGCTAATCAATGCCACTAGCCCAGACAAAGTTAATGGTGTGTTATCAAAAGACTACTATCAATGAAAATCAGGTGTCAAAGTTTTCAAACTAGCAGGTATTTATCAGTTATAATTTAGTTGAATTTGTCAGAGTTTGTTGGCATCCATTCTACAGTAATAGAAATACAATTATTCTTTTAACAGTTTGTCAAATTATTCTAACTATTAAGTAGAGCCTTTTGCAAATAAATCTGAATAACAGGTGAGTCAGCATTAGCAATTTAACTGATCAACAAGCCTACATTAAGTTACAAATTGACAAAAAAGCTCAGTTGCCGTGGGTTTATAACTATGAACTTAATCACTGATTTCTGAAATTGTATGGCACAGCCCAACACCTGATTCTTTCATGATCAACTAAGGAATATATAGGGTTATTAGGTTTCGAGTTCTACCATAGCATACTGATGTTCTAGTRTACCATTTTCAATGCTTTCATGCTAAAGTCAAACCTCTATTGAGTGAATCTACGGTATTTCTTAAAAAAAAATTATTAAAAATATATGAAATTAGAACAGTTTAAACATTATACAGTCTGTACCCATAGTTCCCTAAACTCACGCCTAGAGCTACGAGTCTGGTTTGAAAGAATGTAATCTTGCCAYAGCACCCCTCCCYTCCGCCTGTACTGTCYAATCTCTCTGCCTTGGTAACCAGGCAAATTGAAAAGAATTTAATTAACGGGGAAGTTCTTGTTGGATTACATGTTATAACYAACAATAGAATTTATAAATTAGACTAAGGAACATCCAAGAAACATCATGATCAATAAGCAAGACAAATGTGGMTAAAAAGATGTTTAGCAAGTCCCACAGGATTGTTTGGAAAACACGTCTGGTCGCGAAGCCGTTTTGACCACCGGCAATCGTGTAGCGATACGAAAATGTATTTCACAAGAAAGGCAAAAGGGATCTTTAAGTTRCTTTGTAAGCTATTTCTTAAATTGATGTTTTGACTGTTTTACTGAAGAAAWTATTTTGATATGATTATCAACTGCTTTTATGCTCTTCATTTGTCAGAGTTACTTAAGCTTAGTTAGTTCCACATCAAATTCAAATCGACTAGATTTTGTGATAAAAAAAGGAAATACGTTCGTACAGCAACGAGAGAAAAACTTACCTGTCGCCAACTACTAGCCCGCACTCAGAGCATATCATATCGCCGGCCCGGTAATCTTCGATGAGAGGGGCCTCTGGATGATGTCGGCAAATGACGATCTTCTGTGACGAAGAGCTGAAAATATTCATTGCAAAACACTGCTTAGCAAGGCCACATTACCACTAAATGATACAAAAAAACTATAGGATAATGTTTTCAAACAACAGGTGTTTCAAACATTAATGTTTAAGGATTAAAACGTTGAAATGTTTAAGCGTACCTCGCCATGTCGATCACTTCTTTCGTCTGGCAAAAGAAAGCCCGGCCGCCATTTTTATCAATTTCGAACCGGAAATAGCCTCGTTTTGATATTTACTCCCTAACCGGAAATGATGTATGCGATATATACACAACGGGAATTTTCTAATAAATGCTGAAGTCAGTCATTTTTATGTAATTATGAATGACTTCATCTAAGTTCGCAGAATATTTTATAGCATTTGCAAATATGTTTTAAGGATTTTTTATTCGACTCCCGCTGTCCCGTCTTACTGGGCTTCATTTCAGTTAAAGTTTACCCAACTTTTCAAAACCCGTTTTTCTTTTAGTAAAGTGCTTACATATAAATTGAATTCCAAGAGTTCTGAAGAATCGAAAGTAAACCAACAAAGAAGATCAAGTCTATAAGCCGATTGATCGGACGAGTCTGAAATATTTCGGCCTCCGCTTTTGTAAACCAGTCTTATCATGATCTAGACAGGCCAGCGACAGTACAATTTATCAAGCATAATATCTATTTGGAATGAGTGCTTTATTTCACTGATCAAGCACGATATGCAATGTGTTGTTGCCTTTCATGCGGGATCCCTGTCTGTTTTCGTCTTGGGCTTCCTTTGTATATGTTAAGATGGTATTGTTTTGTTTAACAGACTTTTCGCTATAATAACTGCAAGTTTCAAGAAATTTAACGCTTTGAAAATCGAGAAAATCGCCAAAAGCGAGTCCACTCCCACTTCCAAACAAGATTACCAGATACTTGCTGCTAAAGGAAGAATTCATTTGATAAATTAATGAGTCTTAGGACTAAGCCTTTTCAATTAATTGTGAACAACAAGAGTTAGTTATTCAAAGTATTTATGTTGCTAAGAAACCTCGTTCCCAGCGGGCTCCTCTGCACTGCTTCTCTTGTCTGACCGGTTTACAACACAATGGTCGATCGAGTGGATTATCCGACCGGTTTACAACACTGAATGGTCGATCGAGTGGATTATCCGACCGGTTTATAACACAATGATTACTCCGTGATCAGGTACGTCTTCTTGATCCTATAAGTACTCTTTGTCTACTACCTGGACAGACATGTGTCGCTCAACTACACCATTGGTTATTGGATCAGTTATTTACAACTGGGAACTCACTGTTTCCTGTTTGCTTTTTCTGTGAATATGATCACCCTGATTTTGCGCAGTAGGTTAACAGTTTTAGTGTCAGATAAAATCAAAGTTTACATCACACAAACATTTTTTTTTAATCAGAAACATTTTCTTTTTGTCATCTTTATTTTTGAATTATAAAACGGATAATTGAGAGAGACACAGACTCTGAGACATCATACTTTCTGATAGGATAATAAGTAATGTGCAGTGACGCCATTTCGTAGTCCTCACACATATTACATACACTAAAATATCTCTATAAGAGCTACTTTTACAACTTCTTTGTAGAAACGGTACAACTACTTCTATTGTTGCTAAGAAAAAGCGATGCAACTCCTTATGGGGACTGTTGTAGAGGACATGAAAAAGTGCGAGGACTACAATAACATCATGCTTCGCTGCACATAATGGCGTCAATGCACATTGGTTATTATTGAATGTGCCTTTTGAAAGTCCCATGTTCAGACATATATACGCCATATTCAGTACTTGTCATTGGTGATAATCGATGCAATTTGTTCAATATGATGTTTCAATGTATTTTTTGCTTCCTTATCTTGGATATCACGTGACTTCATGAATTCCCACATGCTGTCAAACTGAAAGAAAAATTAAGGAAAGAATAGATCTTGAGAGCGAGCTGTAAGGAAGAYACCAACATAGGTTGGGTTTCCTGTGCTGTACGACCCCGGGTGCGCGGTGCAAGCGCATTTGAGGGTGATTTGGAGCCGAGTGTGTTTGATAGGCAAAGTGTACATAAGGACCAAGAGCCAATGAGAATATCTAACTACAATAAGGACAACCTTTATTTTAAAGTCGTTGCAATTCAGTCGAAACTATACGGCAAATTAAGAAAATTCAGTTTACGATGACAACTTTGAACAGATTGGATGTTTTTTTTTTTGGAACAGTAGATGTAGCWTCAATGACGCCTAGTCTTTCTATGAGAACCACATCAGTATTAAATGTCMCGTGACTGCGCTGGGAATATCGACAAGGACCAAAAGAGTGCTCAAATTGCCTTCACTGGAAAAAATCACGCGCCATAAAGGTTGTAAATTTGATGGAAATATGATGTAAGTGTCCAAAATGGTGTAAATTTGATGGAAATGATTTACATCAAATTTACATCATTTTGGACACTTACATCATATATACAAATTTACAACCTTTAAAGCGCGCGATTTTTTTCAGTGAAACACGGTCCTTTCGCGCTGTGACCGTACCGTGCCGTAACGGTGATGTATTGTTAAATCTTTATTTTTATTTGGAATCCTAGAAGGCGAGGTTCCGTGACCGTGCCGTGCCGTGTCCGTATGCCGTTGCACAGTCATACGAAATCCGCTCTACTATAGCTATATTGCCGATCCTAATCACGGTCCCTATTGCACGTTGCTAAAGCGAAAGCTTAATGTAAACAGATCTAAGAAAGACATACCTGTTTGACGGTATCCATGACAACTTCAAGTGTGACGTCACGATGTTCCCCAATACCATGACGACGATATCGAGAATGAATAAGACAGTTCTGCAGTATTAATACCGACATACTTAAAGCCAAACCAGATTGTCCATCACTGACACAAACACAAAGCTTCTTGTAGGCACTATCGCAGCCATTACCATTTGACAGGTTTGTAGCGCCATTTKGCACATCATTGGCCATGGAAGCCATTGTGACAGCAGGTTTGGTTTCGACTAAATAGAACAAGAATAATTACGCTATATGTCATGTAAAACCAAGAAAAAATACAGTTAGGTCTCGGACGAACAGGACCGTAGCCAAATTGAACGGATAACCAAGCCGAAGGTGGGAGGAAGTAGAGGGCTTCGGCGCATTCTCCCCCTGGAAAAATTGAAATTCACTCTCTTAGAAATGTGATTTGCAGCATTTTGTGGGCATTTTGGAAACTCTTTATTGCCAACAGATTTAACAGGAGTCTATCATCGCATGTAATATTTATGAAACAAAGAAGCTAATACGGACAAGATTAATATTATTTTTATAGTTTTTTTGCACAAAATCAGTCGTACGTTACKAAATCGGCTCTGAGAGGCTAAGATAATATCAGTGATGAAAAACAAAACGAATCGGCAAAATTTTAACGAGGTGAGTGCCTCGGTTGGCCTCTTACTAGCTACGGCCCTCACGTAGTCTACCGAGCCAAGAAAAGCGAAGGCTCGAGGGTACGTGATTGGTCCCCACGGACTCTCAATCTCGAGCCCAGGCTAAATATAAGCAGCGGTCTGCATTGATTTCTGCTGGCCAGACACTGCATGAGTTACGGACACTTTGACAGTGCCCCGCTTCACTATAAGTGAAAATAATTCCCTTAAGAACTGACACTTTTCTGATGGTAATTTTAAAGTATCCTCATTAGTGTGTGCCCGCTAAAAAGTTTCTTTCTGMAGGGTGAGATTATCTTATAATCGGCGGCCATTTTGGAAAATGATGTGTATTGCGGTCCCCAAGCTAAGGGCTCCTTGCTAAGGAGAGTTGAGAGAGAAATGGAAACTTAGGACTTTTAATTCCTATACCACTCACCTGGTAGAATGGTTTCTGAGCAAGAAGATTGTTTTGGCTGCAGTTTTCCAAATTCAACTACGACATCAAATTTCTTTAAGCTGTGCAAAAGACCAGAAATATTCAATCCCTCGTTTATTTTTGAAGTGGAYAATCCCTGGATATCGATCTCTTTCTGTAAAATACCGGCCTTAATCAAATCTGCCACAATGTCTTCCACAATCGTTGTAGCATTGACGTCACTAGTAACTATAGTAACAACCTTGCCAACAGCCTGCAATATCTTGGCCATTACYAGCATGCTTAGCAATCYGTCGATTTCATTGGAAGGCKCGAATCGAGTTGATATAGCAACTGTTTTGGCATGGGAAACCCTTAAAGCACTCTTTACAAGTCCCTTAGATTTCTTTGATTTGGTTGCTTGGTCTGAATCATTTTCAATAATTAWTTCTTCGAKTTTGCTGATCTTTGTATGAGTTTTGTGGCCAAGAATAGAGGCGAAGTARGGTTCGTCTTGCAGTGTCACTACAATAGGTTGCTCATTGCCATGCCGAGGAAGTTTRTCTCTAAAAAAATCTTCCGTTTTGACGTCAGTAAGGAAGAGCGTTCCAGGAACACTATGACCAAAGGCGATATCTAAATCTTGCATACARCAATAGTATATAATTAATTAGTTCATCACTGGAAAAAATCGCGCGCCATAAAGGTTGTAAATTTGATGGAAATATGATGTAAGTGTCCAAAATGATGTAAATTTGATGGAAATGATTTACATCAAATCAACATCATTTTGGACACTTACATCATATAGCTATATACATCAAATTTACAACCTTTAAAGCGCGCGATTTTTTCCAGTGCATCAGGGGCGCATTCAGGATTAATWATGATTGGGACTGTCCTTAAAAATACGATGACGTCATGTGACATCATAAAGACGTCGTTGCGATCCATTGCAATAGAATCATATAAAGCTGGAAAAGTGTTTTTTTTTTTAACTAGCGAAATTAAGCAATCGAATCTTCACACTGCATCAACAGTCACTTTTTAGCATTTGGCTTTTAAAAGCTGGGCCATGGGTGGGTTGGGGGGGACTCCCCTATATTTGCTGTATGGGTATGCACTGGAAAAATCGCGCGCTTTAAAGGTTGTAAATATGATGTAAGTGTCCAAAATTTTGTAAATTTGATGTAAGTGATGTCCATTAAATTTACAGAATTTTGGACACTTACATCATATTTACATCAAATTTACAACCTTTAAAGCGCGCGATTTTTTCCAGTGTATGTGCCGCTCGATAGGGTCCCTTTTTCGGAGCTCCAAGTCTGGGATAGGGTATCATTTTTTGCCCATTTGTCTGGGTTAGGGTTAGTAGTTTTGTTCGGAATAGACTATTTTTTTTGTCTAGGATAGGGTATGGTTTCATTGTCCCCGGGAGCAATGGCTAGGCGTGTTACTATCACCTTCAGGTGATCCTGGTACTACAAACGCTATTCAATTGTAGTGAGCTCAAACAGCTTCTGTGATGCTGTTCCAAAGTCTTTAGATAATATTTTTGTTCCAATTGCTATGAAACCGTTAATATGCTTACTTGAATGTCTGACAACCTCAACCAAAGTATGACCACACCCCCAGAACACTGGAACAAGGCGATTGTCGCTAAAATCTGCAGGGTCACCCCACTCGGGTCTGAGTATGTCGCGAATRCCAATCATTGCAGGATCGCCGATATGTATTGGTGCGCCATGGACTTCATCAAATCTAGCTGTTATTTCCACGGCCTTTTGAACAAGGTCCTTTCTTATTGGTCTCATTGTAACTGCCATTCCTGGACAGGTTATCCGACCAATTGGAAKGCATTCAATATTGGACTGGAATATTGAGACAGCTCTGTCGATACTTCGTGTATAAACACCTTCCTTGGCGAGCTCCCCCGCGAATGAGAAACTGCAGCCAGTATAGATCGTAACCATATCATCCCAAGGATAATCTTTAAGCTCGTTAGGAGTTGAGTGCTGTTGGGATCCATCTGGGGACTTTTTGTAGACGTTGTATTGGGTGAGGTCTGTCCTACAATGATTGATGAGAAAAATGGTTAGCTGTTTGAAACTACATTGTAGGTTTAGTTTTGGTCTCCCTGTGTCGAGGGGCAAAGCACATCGATCTTTTTATCTCTTTATATTCTTTTCGTTCTTTTGCATGGGTATTTCTTTTGAAGGCGTCAGCTCCAATCAAACAAGAGAGAATAAARTGGTGTTGAAACTAGCGGTAACCTCGTGTGAGCTGTTTTGGTGTTTCTAAAGAAACAGTTGTGTAAAAAGATAATTTAACACCCTCAGAAATAGATGAAAAAACTTACTGACGTTTTAGCCTGCGTAGCGGCCGTAAGGGGATTGGGAAGGGCCGGCCGAGGAGTGGTACCAATCCCTTAAGGGCCGCTACGCAGGCTATGACGTTTCGGACGTTAATCCTTCGTAGGAGCTATCGGAGTAGGAACACGCTCGATATCCAGTTTCCATCAAATGTCTAGTCTAAACTAATACTGCTGGTGCTGTCGACTTGTTCCGTTTTGTTGTCTTCTGCATTCTGTTTCAAGTTGATTTGGGTTGTCGAACTTTCTTTATTTTGGGCATATTTTCTAAAATGTAACTATTCTAACATTCTAAGCTTCCCGCGAAATCAGATCTGCCGCGAAATATAAAGAACATTTCCAGAGCCGTGTTTAGTTTGTTGATCTTTCTTGACCGCGATGAAAGATGATTGTTTGATGCTTACGCACAACTTCAATGCTTGATTTCTCGTTTTGTGATTTTCGCGGGGTAGCGAAATCTAAAATGAGTTCACTGAGTTCCTCGCGATAACGATACAAAAATATTTTGGAAATTTCACCAAAGCCACACACAACTCAAGAAAAGTAAAACTGCGTTTAACAAATTTTCTTATTTTTTATTCTATAAAGGTTAATATCAAATCAAGCCCAAAAAATGGCTTTCCACGATTCAACTGTGATTTATATTTCTAAACGAATAATAAAATATTGAAAATCGCTTACCAGGTTTGATAGGTGGGTATGTGTAGATTGATATTGTACAGTACTWKTRACTCTTGCAATCAAGGGTATCTATTTTTAGTTCAGACCGTCCAAACGCGTTTCGAAAAAGGAATATTGTTCTAAAAATTACATAGACATATTCCCTGATTATTCAGCTTTCATATATAATACTTTATAAACACTAGATCCAACGTGCCAGTGAATTTTTTAATGAAGAGACCCCCTGGTGCTAATGACGTTGTTCATTTTGAATTTTCCATAAAATTGTGGTTAACTGAKTACGTTAGCAACAACAATGTCAATCTTGTACAGTTTTGGAAGACTATATTAACATAGTCGAGCGCTCATAATCAAATGTGATGCCATAACTTCATCATGCAACCAAAATTAGCATAGAGGGTTTTTATGCTAATTTGTTTTTATTATTATATTCTCTGGAATTGAAACAGACTATATATCCACGGATACTTAGCCTGCCTAGAGCTCTTATTAGTTTTCTCTTTCCGTGTTAATAGGCACTTTAAACTCATTTTGGTGCTAAACCTCTTGAAACATATAAATACAGTTCATATGCCGCTGTGAGATGATAAATCATTCTTACCTAATATCGGAGGTTTTTGCAAGATAGCCAGCACTAACCTCTCCTGGTTTACTTCGATACAATAAGGGACAAGGTGCTTCGTTAAGGCGACAAAATTCACAAAGGTCTTCAGCTATACCACTAGGAACAATAATAACATTTGTTTGCATATAACCGAGGCAAAATCCACCCGAATCCCCAAACTGTTGCATCGAGGGATTTGTACGGATTTGATGCCTTGCGAAAGCGGGCAGCCATTGCGATGGACATTCATGAGAAGAGTCCATGTTATAAATGACTCATTGAAAGAATCACTTCACACCCATGGACAACTTGAAATTGAATACTTGATATTATATGTGGGATACTGATCATGCGTGACCGATTTAGTAGAGAAAGATGGGCGACAAGTCAAAAGCTGTGTGCTGTGTTTACGTTGTTTTTAAAATGGGTTCATCAATACCTCACTAGCGGTATTATTATTATTATTATTTTTTATTTTTTATTTTATTTTATTATTATTATTATTATTATTATTTTTTTTTATCTTGTCATAATTTACAGAGTTCAATCCTGAACTCAAGTGAAGGGAAAGGGCCTGGAAAAGAGGTTTTATTAATTTTATTTTGTAATGTTTAAAATCATAGTTAAATATGATTAGATCTCCCACAAATCAAATATCGACCTTTCATCTCTCAAAACCTCGACGTACGCAGAATCAGTATATTCAAAATTTCTTGGACTCGCCCCTGCGAATATCGATCAAAATGAGACTCTTAAAAATATTATTCATCAAGTTTCTAGCCGATTAGAAATCACTAGCTTGTCTTGCAACGAATCGAAGACTCGACGAACACCCYCAAAAAATAACCATACATGACGTCATCCGCAAGAGACTGGTGATGACATTCTCCCCAAAACAAACAAAATGGCGGGTGTGCTTGGTCGCCAAAGGAAAATATTTGATGAATCCGTGTGAATATACAACAAAGAAAAGCCAAACTGCTGAATAACAATGGCACAAAAGACAAGAAATCCTAGTATGACAGCAGAACAAATTAAATGTGAGTGGTTTTGACAGTACAGAAAACATTTGGTCAAAGTCAATAAAGAACTCTTTAAGCTTATATGTTATCGTGCTGAGCGATGTAATTCAACGTAGGATTGCAAATATAATTTGTTTTATTTTGATAAATAGTGATTTATACAACCTTTTAGATA